GTGTTTGAATAATGTTTTAATAATATTGGTTTTGTTTATTTTCCTTCCAACCTACTAAAACTAATGCGTCGAAAAGTGACTCGCCTATTTTTTGGTACGAGACTAACAAAATAAAATGTGCCGAGTCATAATTAGACGCACCCTGTATATCTATCCCATTTTCCCTATCACTGTCTGTCTGCCCGTCTCTCTCTCTCTTTTTCTCTCTCTCTCTCTCTCTCTCTCTCTCTCTCTCTCTCTCTCTTTCTTTTCACCTGTTACACACAGATAGACACAGACATATTACACATGTACAAGCTTTTCGAATCGTAGTTATCTATAAATGAAATGAACAAAGCAACATGCGAAATATTGAATGTGTATTAATAAGTAATACATATTAATAACTTATTTTCACTGATAATTTGGAACCAGCAGTAATAAGTAAGTTTTTAAAACTAAATGAAATGCTACATCAACAAACTGAACATGCAACTTTCCACCAAGTTCCAAGTTGCACAGCAGGTAGGCCTACGACAGAAAATAAATTTGTGTATTATATTAAGGGATTTTACAGTTAATAGGCTTTTTTTTTTTTTTTTTTTTTATTTGAGTTGATTTAGCAGAGTACCTTCTCTGCAGGACCTGTTTAAGCGACAAAAAAACTTCTTTCCAATAAATAACAGAATTTTTTGTAATATAGTATTTTCAATTGGAAATTAAAAAGGGAGATTTTTACATTCTTGATAGCAGCATAACTTTATAATCCGTTTCGATAACAGCCCACAATTCATTTTTTGACTTTTAAACTAGATTTGGCAAAATATAAAACGAATAAAAGGGGTCAAAATGTAAAATCGTAATTAAATTAAATTATGAGTATATTATCAAATGGTGAAAATTCTGTTATTTATCTGTTAGTCATATAAATGCAACCCTAAAACTCATTTTGCAATAAATTTAAAATTTTTATTGTTTTTTTGTTATTATTGAATAAATTATTTTTAATAAAACAAACAATTAATGTCATTAATTTTATACATGTTTAAAAGTTTTTAAATAACGTTAAAACAGGTAGCGTATTTTATCCGACCTTAAGTAGTATATTATACCTTAAATTACATTAAATGTAAGCTTTTAAAACGGCTGATCGAACTCAAGGAAAGTTTGGAAAGTTTATTAACTTCATCAAAGTTCCGCCTGCCGATATTTCACGTTAATTTACCAAAAAAACACCTCTATAATAAGGAATAATCCAAAAACGCTGTGAAATACTTTAGGACCGTTACAAGAGGAAAATCTTATCCTCGCCGACGGAAAACGATCTCGGCCGTCGTAAAATATTCAGGGATGCACTTTAGCTTTTTATTTTCAAAGAGGAAAGAGCTATTAAAATTGTAAAAGGCCCAAGTTGCTTTAGTTCTACTGAGGCGTGATTAATCATGAATGGCGGCACCCTATGAAGTATGTTCTTGGTTTTATTTCCCTATCAGAACCAATTATTTATTAACTCATTTTATCAGTGAACTAATGAACCTTTTCCAGCCTGATTATTCTCGTTATTCATTCTTGAGCAAATAATACAAAAAATAAAATAATGTGTAACATGATGATCTAGTCCGTTTTCTCTTGCTAAAAAGGTTTAGGTTTCTCTTTTACCTATTCTTAAATGTGTAAAGTATGTTTTTCATAAATTTTTTAACAACCCTTATTTTCTGATGTTAAAATGAAGTTAATGTCAAAAGTAAATAATAATAAAGAAATACCAAGAGATTTTTCCTAAATAAAAAATCTGAAAATAAAATCACGTGAATAAAGCCGTCAATTGAGAATAAAGTAAAGCGATGAAACAACGGTATTTTTATTTTATTTACAAAGATTTTTTTTATTACAAAGTCCCTTAGGCAATTGGAAACAAACTGGTAGGGTTGAATTGTTCCTCTGTAATTGGTTTTTGAGTGCCTTTTAAAAAGTTCAATAAAAAAAAAAAGCAATCAAATATCTTTGCAAGGCTGATAAACTCTTATAATTGGATTAATACAAATATTATGCCTAATTTGTTGCGTGTAATATTAGTTGCATAATTACGTTCAATTTATTTTTATAGGATCGAGTCCAATCTTGAGATTATAGATTCATATATCTTATTGGTAATAATATTTACAATATGTTTTAGTAATTAGAACATAAATGATATTTTGTATAAATAAATTGATTTATTTTCAGACAATTACTAGATTTAATCAGAACCTTCAGTTCGCCTAGTTAATATTATATTTTATTGTTTAACTGTGAAAGATTTAAATGCTATTTTCTATTTGAACCCTTTTTAAATCGAGTTAATCGAATATCAAAATATATTAATTTTATAAAACTTAATTATTTACTGGCGTATTTCTTTTTTATTTCCCATCCATTACCTCGCCGAACCTCAAAGAGACAACATACCGATGCGAAGGACCGCGCGGATTAATAAAAATTTTGGTTCAAAACTGAGCCACTGAAATTAATATATTCTTCAGACCACACAAGGATTTTTAAAAAACTGCTGGAATAAGGTGAGTTGCTTTTTAAAAAAAAATTAATTATACCCTAATGGGTCTCTTCCTATTGGTATCCCCTGACAATTTATTGGAATACAAGGGATATTTGCTATCCAAACAGGATGACAGATTGTTATGCATAGATCAGCACTGATATTTGTGACAATTATTGTTTATTTAACTTATTATTAAACAATAAGTTAAACCAATTATTATTAAACGGAACTTAAAAAATAAAAAAGAACCAATTGTTTCGACATTACCGTCAGCAAGTTGCATTAACCATAATTACGCAAAACTTAAATTGGTTCTATATTTTCAAGTTTAGAGCATGGATGATTGTATAACGACAAATGTCGATATTAATGGCTAACGTGTTATTTGTTATTAGATAGTTTTTTGTTAACGATATTGTTTCACTGGCGTTAAAAGCACATATTTTGACATTGATAATTTCAATTTAATAAAAAACGGGTTTATTAATACATTCAGTTCAGTAACTTTTTTATGTGGACTATAATTCTAATAATTAGATGATGCGGATAATTCTTTGTTTGGTATTGAACTTATTTTATGTTAATTTATTTTTAGGATTTTATCGTTTATGTTTGTGTTGCATTGGCTCTACTGGCATTGTTAAATCTATAGTTAATTAAATAATTTTCCTGAAACATATTTGTTACATTATCGATAAGATTATAAGTCATATAATGCACTAAGCCAATAAATCAGTTATCTTATTTATATATTATATTTATATAATTAGATTATATATTATATATAAATGGAAAAAATCATTTTTCTATTGTGCACATTAGTATGCACATTCTTATAAATTTTAGATTTTTATAAAAACTTTCTACTTAATTTTTACGAACTCCATATTTTCAGTAAGTTGTGCATAAAAATTCAGTTTATAAGGCAAATTTCAAAGAAAGAAAATTACTCAGCTCCTTCGTCAAGCTTTCGAGGTTTTTATTATTTTATTATTTTTATCACTCTCATCAGGACATCGAAACTATTTCCAATGATGTAACTATTAACAAATTATTACAATTGTAATCTATACCGGACGGTAGATCTCTTCCTAAGCTACTCATCATAATTTACTGAAAAAATAATTTTGAATATTGGCAAAAGAACTGACTGTTGGATTTAAATTTAAATTAGCGTTATATCTGGCTTTTTATATACAAATATAACATTAAATGTGTAGTATTTAGTGACCGATAATTAATGGTTATTTGGAGATGCGTGAGATGCAGTCCTGTGTGATGTAGGTTTAGAAAAACGCTTTCTTTATTGTGCCAATGTTTTGATGTTTATTATTTTGAGCCCTGAAGATGATCTAAATAAAGATCGAAACGTTGTTACAATACAGAAAATGTTTTTCTAAACTTACATCACACAAGACCGCATCTCACGATCTCCAATAATTATAATATTAAGGCTGATACCGATCACACCAAGAACATTTTAAGTAAGTATTAAAATTGTTTACATCATGCATATTTTTTATATTTACTTCATTAAGACAGGAATGTTTGAAACTTAATTTTCTGTTCAATATATTTTTTTATCGAGTGAGTAAAAAATAATAAAATTTTGTGATCGAGAAGCATACGATTGTGATGTTTGTGGTTAGATTTTTATTTTTTCAGTCAATTTGAAAAAAAAAGTGTCAATTATCTGTATCTATTTATAGTCGATTAGTTTTCGTGGTCCGTTTGACCAAATAATATTTTTCAATTAATTAATCTCTGTGCAAGGTACTGGTCGAGACAAATTTATTGATAGTTTTTATGTTTTACCTATTTAACTTTACCAATTAATTTGGTAGTTATTATTTGTATTAATACCTTACATAAAAAGAATAATTAATTGAAATAAGTAATTTGTTCAATTGGACCAGTAAACATAAATGGATTATTACATTACATTTACATTAATATTATTACTTTCATTTTGGCCTCTTGGATGAACGTGTGGTTTGTCGTCACTGATAGTTTCGGTCTGCAAATCCATGCTGTTTTTGTCTGTTAGACCCGTTACGGCTTCCCATCATCTTCAGAACGTGCTATTTGACCCATTACTGAAGTGGTTAAAAAAGCGAAACGCTTCTGACCGACCAATACAGCGTCGATTGGCTACCAAAACTATTTTAGATCCGGAAACAACAAGTTCATCATTGTGCAGATTCACTTCTTCAAGAGAAATTCACATTGTCGATTTGTTTGATGCGTTTTTGTTTCTTACTACTTTTAAAGTGTTATATGATTGCAGAGTAATTAATTAATCAATTGCCTAATTCATAAAATTTATAATATAAATTTAGTTTTATGTATTTATAATTTGTAACCATGTTAAAAATTATGTACTTTTTGAAAAAAAAAATGTTTCTATGGAATTGCAAATCAATTTTTTTACCGGAAAAAAAATATATATTTTTAAATAAATGTATATATGTAAGAAAATTACCTTGAGAGCATGGCTGGATCAGCGGAATGGTGCTGCATAGCCAAAGGCTCAACCAGATGCTGCGAGGAGGCATCTTTGTGCGTTTTTGACTCTTTGCTAAGTATGCTTGAAATCGAAAAACTGGTGAAGGCGCCCTGGGGCCTGGTGTCGCACCTTTTCGACTCCCCTTCGTCTTCGCTGACGACGTCGATTTTCGGCGACTCGCTCATCCTTCACATAGCACAGGACACAACTGGTCGCAAGGACCTTTCGGTAGGCAGGAGATGCTAAGTGGGCGTTTCGCCGGAAGGGTGCCTTCCCTCCCATTGGCTCCCCTTCATCCTGCCACCCTTAAAAGCTCCGCCTTTCACCCCCTCCCGTGGTCGATACCCTGAAGTCTTTACACCTCCCTTTACTTAACCTAATGCAATACACGGTACTATTGTAAGGTAAATGTACCTCCGTAATTGGCTCGAGTAGACCTCACTACATTATAAGCCCCCCCTTTCCAGTAAACCTCATCTACAACACCCGTCCTTACAAAACAGCTCAACGGATAAATATTAAACGGATCAATTGCAATATTAACGTGTTCCCTCTGATAAAATATACTAGATATTGAATTGAATAAAAATGAATAAAACTAGAAAAAATGTTTACTTGGAAAAAAAGTTTTGATTTGATCGAAACTGATAGAATTCTCGATCGTTGAGTGTAATATGACTTCGTTCTAACACCAATTTCACTATAAACATACTAAAATATAACGACATAATAAATAATAATTATCACGAAGGAATTTTTCAATACATTAATGAGAGGGAATAACGCCGTCATAATTAGCGTGATCAAATTTTGGCTAGTTAATTTTAACATTAACAATTTTTCAATATTATCATTTAATAAATTCACTGATTTCGTGCTCCGCTTGACCAATTAATACATTACAATTAATTAAGGTTTTTGGTTGAGAGAAAATATTAGAATTAAATATTATAAAGTAATATATAAAGATATTATAATTTAATATTTATGGAAGGTATTGGTTGAGATAAAAAAGTCAGTGTCACGAGCCGGATTCGTCCCCACGACCTTTGGCTAAATACGCCATATCTCAACCAATACCTTTCATAAATGTTAATTAATTGAAAAATGTTAATTGGTCAATCGGACCACAAACTGTAATGGATTATAATTTAATCCATTATATTTAGCGGTCTGATTGACCAAATTACTTCTTTCATTTAACTCTCATTTTTATGTAAAGTTTTGATTGAAATCTTAATTAATTCGAATTTATCTTCTACTAATCTAGATGATCAGCAAAGTAACTATTTGTCAGAGGATTAACCTATTAGTTTATAGATCAGGCTAATCCTTGACATTAATATTTCGTCCGACTCGTGAGAATATTTTTTTACAAGGGTAAATACAGTTGGCCATGCCTGGGTTAAACAGTAAAAAAATGGTAACATTAAAACGCGAGAAAGACCGGAAAAGAAAATGAAATAAACTTCAAGCGATGGCCAAACCGGATAAAACGCAAAATTTATTAAATAGAGAGAGAGAGAGAGAGAGAGAGAGAGTGAGAGAGAGAGAGAGAGAGAGTGAGTGAGAGGCAGAGAATTCTTTATTCTGGGACTAGAGTCCCCTAAGAATAACAATAAGATCACAAATTTTTTTTATAAATCTGGCATGTGATTTAACGAAGTTTTAACGTTAACATGTAGTGAAATAAATTGTCTAAAACACATAGTACAAAATACAAAAAATAGAAATAATAATACCAATAACAAGAATTTAGAGAAAATAGTAATAATAAGGAATACTTTATTTTGTGCGATCGTAATCACAAACTGTAAACTTAAAAGTTGAGAAAAGGATGGAAACAAGCATTTTTATGTAGTAAAAGGACCCAATAATATTGTGGACTATGTGAGCTCTGTCTGGAGGTAGTTAGATGAGGTGTTTGTAAAGGAGGGATTTAAAAGAGGCAAGGGAGGCGGCTTTGTGGATTGGCTAAGTAAGATAATTACAGGGAGATTTGTGATTCGAGCTAGGAAGGTTAAAATGTGCAGGTTTTATGACGAGGAAGGAATAGGTCACTGGGAGATAAGCGGATCATAAGAGAGTAGATAGAAGATTTGAATTGAAGTAGCTGGAAAATCGACGAGAGTTTGGCCAGAAAATATTTCCTGGAAGGAGGGTTGAAGCCAGGATAGGTCTGAATACAGTTTGAGACGCTGGGCATTCGAGGGTGCCAAAAATAAACCTGACAGTTCGTCTCCGAAAGCCCACCATAAGCGACACTGCTGTTAGTCGAAGAAAGGAAAAATAAATAACAGGCAATATTAAATAACTATTAAAGTTCATAAGATCCATTGGTTGTCAATGCCAACATTAATAAATGATCAAAAATAAATTAATTTCTGATGACTCTCGTTTACTCAACAGCCGGATCGAAAATGGGCAGGTCAAGCATTATTTTTAATAGGCTTGCTGTCCCACTTAAACAACAGCTATGAAATAAACCACAAAATCATCTTTTCAACAATCAAGACAGTTAATTCATACAATCCGCTATTAAATATTGAAATATATTTAATCTGTTTAGCCGAGTGGATCAGGGGGCATAAAACTAAAAAAAAATAAATTTTATTGATTTTGCATTCATTTTTCTTACATTTGCTGTTTCGAACCGTGCCGGCTCTCTCAACGCGACACGCAAGAATGGCACAATTACACAGAAGACAAACACTTTGAGCCCTGAAGATGATCTCAATAAAGATCGAAACTTTGGCACGATAAAGAAAAAGTTTTTCTGAAACCTACATCACACCAGACCGCATCTCACGATTTCTGAAAAATTATCGATTAACGGTCACTAATCACCAAACGTTTTTGATTCATTTAAATCTAGCAAATCCGATAAATTAACAGAGTAAAGATCAAATTAATTATTTTAGTTTATTTCTACTATGGATTAATATTCTCTGAAGCAATAGTGTGAACAGTGAAGTGTTGTTTTATAATTACATTTCTTAGAAATATATATATTTGCATTTATTTGACGAAATCATGATCCGTGACCTCCTTGTAAGATTTAATCATAGCACAATACATTTCTGTAGACACCTTTTTAAATAACCATTGTTGATAATTGTCATAGTGGATGAAACCTTTTTGTGTGAGTGGTTTAATTTCTTTCGGTTGCAGGCATGCAACAATCGTCGGGACGGAAACGCAATAGGGCGTTTTCCAGGTAGGAACGGGGATTAGCAATTTCCCCTTTTCAGTCAAGAAGGGGTGCCGTTCTGCTCTTAAGTACACTCCACCCCGCACGCTCTGTTACCTCACACCGGGATTAGATCAATGTTTATGCCCTGTGGCCCTCAATGGGAGATTGTTCAATATTTAGGGCCATTAAGTGGTTGGGATTAAGAGGGCCCTCGACGAGCAGCCCCGACGACAGGCAGCCGGCAGTAATTGCTGCGAAATAAATCTTCCAACGGTAAAATGTGGCCGCTTATGCTTAACTCTGTAGGCAGTTTGATCGTCCGCCTATTTTCGCTCTTTGACAAAGGCGTATATCATCATATAAAGATATTTACGGTAAGAATATTTCATTCTGAATTGACGACTAACTCTAAATTATCTTGATGTGATTGATATAAGTTTCAATTATAATAATTGTTTATAAAAACATCAAAGGCAAGAAAAATCTGCAAGAAAGAAAAACACTCAGTACCTTCGTCAAGCTTTCAAGGAATATATCCCCTTCTCATGAATACTGTTTCTAATTTATGCAAGGTTTTTGTTGAGATGAAAAAGTTAGTGTCAAGAGCGGGAATCGAACCCACGACTTCGGCTAAATACGCCGCTGCTCTAACCGCTTGAACCATGGTGACCAACTCGTCATCTCAACCTACAACCTTTTGAATTTTCCCACTTTTTCCGTTTTTCAAATGTCTTGTAATCAGACTTCGGTTCTCAGCCGGAAAACGTGGGAAAATTCAAAAGGTTGTAGGTTGAGATGACGAGTTGGTCACCACGGTTCAAGCGGTTAGAGCAGCGGCGTATTTAGCCGAAGTCGTGGGTTCGAATCCCGCTCTTGACACTAACGTTTTCATCTCAACCAAGGCCTTACATAAAAAGAATAATTATTTGAAATAATTAATATGATCAATTAGGCCATTAAACATAAATGTTTTAACTGTTTCTAATGATTTACACATTTTACCACCGGGGAATTCTACATTTCAATAGTTTTTATGCTCTGAGTACGTCAACAAATCCTACAGAATTAATGAAGTAGCCAAGCAATCAAGCCCAGTGCACAAAGATTACAAAATTACGAACAAATTTGGTGTTGCTCTGCGAATTGAAGAACATATGCTAAACTGATCGACACTTCACTCTGCTAAGTCTTTCTACTCTCGCATGTTTAGATTTCACTCAAACGCTTCACAACATCTTCAGTATGTTGACTTGAAGACCAGTAAAATCTAATTCTGCGAAAGTATACCAGCCAAGTATAATATGATCCTTTTAAATCATGTAGGAGATTTATATTGAATAAATTTTTAATTTTTAACTGTTAAGTTTTATATGTTTTCTTATAACATATCGCAGGAAAATGGTTATAATATGGTGACGTATCTGCTGACGGCTTTAGCGAAAAATTTTAATACTTTATGCTCAGAACTGTATAAATAGCTTCGTGGGAAAACTGCAAAAGTTGTGTACCCAGACACGTTGGGATCGAGGAAATCGTACGAGCAAAGACGGGATACACACAAGACTTTACTATCCTAATCCGACATGCTAAGCGAGCCATATGAATATGACTTATATTTGGGCCAAACCCTAGCCAGTTGTCCACAGAGGATAGAAAGGTTGCTTAATGTGTCGCACTTAATTGAACGGAGTCATTCTTTTTCTTCATATCCACCCGAGACGAGAAAGACCATCCTAACCCGACTCAAAAATTGTCAAACGCAGTTGACATACGAACGGCAAGTATTGAACGATTATGAACAACTTCAAACTTTAGTAACATATCAGCCAAAGAAGAAGAATATCAGTTTTTTCAGTATTGACTTTAACTTCAATACTGCTCATAAGCGGGCGTCATGTGCATTTATGTATTTATCCATTTTTGTATTGCAGGTAATTTGTTATTGTACGTAAACCAAGTTTGATGATGGATGTATTCTGTGTTTCCTGTTTCGTGAGAATAGTGGAATATTGAGTTCTCTATCTTAGACAAGTTTGTGTACATGAAG